GATTAAAATTAAACTACCATAAAAAGTGAGCACAATTACAAATTCAGCAGCGGATCAAATTATTATCTCCCCAACTGTAAGCATATAAATGACATTCAATGCTCAGCGGATTGCAGGCTTCCCCAACCTTATAAACAGTACATTTGCACAATAATTGAAACTAGCATCACTGAAGGAACAGCGGGCTGGGAGGTCAATTCCTTGATCACGTTTTATAAGATTTGGGGAAACCTGCAGTCAGCCGAGACTGAAGAAATCACTTGGATGAGTGACGAAACGTTTCTCCCACAAAACGCTACGTTTATATGAACAGAATCGACTTTGAGGGATTTACTTACCTGGATGATTGAGCGTGCATCAAGACGACATTTAAATTAGTTTAATAAAACAGATGAAAAACACAAAGGGAGTCAAGCTTCTAGGACGCCCATATTTAAACAACTAACTTAGCAGCATTTAAAAAAAAAAAAGCTTTGGTCCCTATAGGTAGTTCCCCCCTTCATAACAGCTGGATGGCGGTGGAGTTTTTTCAAATAACTCGTCAGTTTTGATAGTGTTATGGCTTAAATTTACGTCCGTGGCCACCTGATTGACTGGTGTGCTGACTGCTGGGCTTCACCTCCTCTAATTCCAGTCTCTGAACTCGCCCTCTCAGCTGCCTTTGCTGTGTCGGGGACTAATCTGACAAATGACATGGCACGCTGTGTGGCATAGACCATCCAAGAAGTTTGGGCTTCTGTTTTGGTGACAGACATAATGGTGCTTTCTTAGTCTGCTACCTAGCACAGTTTGCTGCTGCTTGCTAATCAAGGTAGCTGGCTGAAAGCTGAGCAGTCCAGCATGGTACAGATGGTAACTTCTGGCTGTAAAAAGACTTACAAAAGCTTGACCATCAACATGCAGAGTAAAGGCTACAGTTAAGCTTAATTTTTAAGCCATAATAAAACCAGATATTATAGTGAATAATACTGACACATAGCGCTGTATATAACTCACGAATAGCCCTCCGAAGCCATCGGGACAAGGCTCCATCAAATGTTTCAAATATAGGGTACAGGCAAAGGATCATTTTTATTTTGTCGAGTCAATGAATATGATGCTCGAGGGCCTCTTTTATGCGACGGCTCCGCGCCGGGTCCGCGTTTCATCTGGAAGGACCCTTATGTTTTTTGATCTGTGCGCACTTTTTTTGATAGTTTCTCAGACGTGAAAGTGGGGACAGAGGAAAAAAGGCGAGGAGAAGGGAGAGAGAAAAGAAAGAGATGAGAGAGCTAAGTGCTTTTTAGTGACTCAGTGACAGCCGTGACCAAAATCGTATTAAGGTCACAATGGGGGTGGTGCGGTGGAGTAAAGAAGCTTTTCAAATGAATCAATTCTCCATCTCTGCTTTTCCCCGCTGCTTCTCTTGCGTGTGTGTGACTGAGTTTGTCCAAGGCGCATATCGCAGGTGTATATCTCAGTCTGTACTGTCTACGGCGAAACATGAGTCGGTTCAAGCGTTCTGATGGGTGACCTTGTTGCATCTGGCGGTGTCGTCCGGTCGAGCGAAAGGGCCGCCGTGCTGGACTTCGCCCAGGGAGCGGTGTATTTCCTTGTCAGGGATTTCATCCACATCCTTTACTCCCTCCTCACGCCGTCTCCCCCGATGATTGCGTTGTATACCGCTTCTCACATCCCCGCCACTAATGCCTTTTTCTTTAGATCATTACCCTCCTCTCGCCTCGGCGCTGTTAGCAATCGCTCAATCAGAAACGCCGGCCTCCCCGCGGTCCCCGTTGTGTGGCCATTGCTCACGGGAGGTGAGGAGGCTTTGATCGGGTAGCGTTTGGCTGTTTACTTTGATTTGATCTATGGGGTCCGCATGCTGTTCAGAGTTATTGGCAAATTTGGGGTGTCGGTAACAGCGATTCACATGCAGCCCGAAGCAATGGTTGCTCGCGCTTGGTATGGACTTGTTGTGTTGCAGTGACAGCTGGAGTGTTTTCTGTTAATGAGGTGCTGTGCTGTACCAGTTTATGATCTGACAAACACAGACGACTTGTTCAAGCCTCTCCACTCCCCATTGTTTTTCTCTCCTTCGTGCTCTTTCCGTCCTCGTTCTCGCTCCTTTTCGTTGGCTCAGTGCCTTCATTAATATTGTTCTCCTCTAATAACTTTCCCATCTTTCAAACTTTACCCCACCTGCCCCCTGCCCACTGACCTCCATACCTCACTCTGTTGCACTCTCCATTTGGAGGAGAGGACTCTTGTAAGCCCTAGTAACAGAGGTTAATCCTCTCTTATTAGAACCGGGATTACTGAAGGGGAAGGGACAGGAGCAGGCGCACGGGGTGGATGCTAACGCCAACTACGAATGAAGGAGACTGACAAAACGCCATGTCTGACATAAAAGGCTTGTTCACTTCACGGAAAAAAAGAATTATATATAGAGTTAAGATGTAATAGGCTCAGTAGTTTGTTTTCAGCAGGCTTTCGGCGTGCTTGTTTAGATGTAGACTGCAAACAGCTCTTACTTTTCCCTTACTCTTGCAGGAGTCATGTTTAAAAAAAATAGGTCACTCAAGCTCCCACTTGAATACGAGATGCTACATAAATTTACTTTAAATTTGAAATGAGCTACTTAACGTTTGAATTGAGTAACAGAAGTAGATCAGTGAGAAACATATTTTCTTGCCTGAAGTCACCGTGATGAAGCTGAACTCAGAAGTACATGGAGTTATTATTCACAGTGGATAATGCTAATGCGAGAGAGATCTCTTGGAGTGAATTAATCACTTGATTCTGCTGATCTGCTTAGCTCTTCTGTGTGATTTAGCATCTCTTAGCTAGCAGGTTTTTAATTTTATTATTTAAATCATTTATTTTTATATTTTTTGGGTAGATAGAAAGGCTGAGAATACTAAATTTGAACATGCTAGGTGACCACCAGTGTTGGGTAAAACAGGCTACAATGAGCTACAATCAGATGACATTTTACAGCAGCACAGGCATGTTTCTTTCTTCACACTTGCACTACATCACCTGATTTCAGTTTTAAAGGGCATCGTTTTAAATTTTTAATGGCACAAAAGAACAAGGGTGTGACAGTAAATGCAAACTGCGTCCAAGACAAACGCAGTTGCATTACACTGCTAACATAACTTCAATTCTCTGCAAAGATCTCTGCAGATAGCATGCTAACACAAAGCTAGCCAAACACCCAGAATGATGTTAAAGCTGAAAGTATGCTGACCCCAGACCAGCCGCCTGAGACTGATCTTCAAAACAGGCAGTGGTCAGCATTACTATTGTAGCCTCCATTTCTACAGTAGAATTTCAGTGGATTGATTTTGTTCTCAGCTTTGCATTAAAAGAAAGACGGTATATACGTCCTCATTAGGATAGGGATTTGTGCTAATGAGACTCTAGTTGTAGGGTTTTATTATTAACTGATAATCAGGCCATTTACAGAGTAATGCAAAAGTAATGCAGCAGGTAGTGCGTTACTTACTCCAGAGAGTAATTAAGTAACATAAGCACTTTTTTAGAGTAACGAGTAGTGCTGTAACACATTATTCCTTTACTTAGTCATCTAACTACCTCAACACTGATGACCACTGATAAAACTCCAGGTTAATACTAACGTTGCTCTCTTAATACTAACGTGCAAATGGTAACGTGTTTGGAAATATGTCAATGTTTCAAGTGTGTGTCAATAACAATGTGTTTATGCAGATTTAAATCTCGATCTCAGTCCAAGTGAAATCAATATCCAGCAAGTCATCCATTATAATAATCTAATAACAGTCGCACCAGTCAATTTAGAATGATTTACATCATCTGCTGCATCCCATTGAATAAGGGGAGGTATCGTATACGGTAATCATCATTATTGTCATCAGTCTGTTCAGGTTATGAGTGTCTGATTATTAGTTTAGGAGCTAAATCAATGTGTGGTGTTTTGCAGTGGCTGAATTGTTGGACAGATTATTTTCTCTTTTCGCTTGAACAAACTTGAAAATGGTTAAAACATTTCTGAAGAATTCAGAAGTTTCTAATTATCATAACATTTTAAAAAGTCTACAATATGTAAACATTTTATATGACTGGAGAAAATTCAGTTGCATTTTATATAGTGCCAAAATACAGAAATCAAAGCTAAGAGAAGCTACTTAAGTTAAACAGAAATGCTGCACATTGTGCTGTATATGGAGAATTAGGTCAATTTAAGTAGATTAACATGGGTGAATGTTGGATTATTGGTTTTTAGTGTAGATTACTTAATGGAAATAAGAATAAATTTTCCTTTCTTGTGGTTTATTTCTAAAAACAAGTGTTTTCAAGTCACAGCGGATAGTTATACGTTATATTATTATTATTATTATTACAGGATTTTCATATTTATGCTGAAAAACTGTCATGGTGAATGAGAGGTGTATATGTGCAGGTAAATACGGGTATATATGGTTGATTTGTTGAAAGTTGATGACGATGATGATGTGAACTGAATGACCTTGATTGTACGCCGGGAAGGGTTCTAGCCTAGGTCAGCATAACTAAGGGAGGGTCAGGGTCACCTGATCCTGCTCTAACTATAAGCTTTAAACAGACAGAAGCATTAAGCTTAAACCTGCCATCTATAAATGACAATATGTTGAAATGTTTTTTAAGCCTTTTCTAAAAGCCCTGCCTTGTCTCATACATTCCCATCCCCACAGCGATGTCTCTGTTTTTTGTTGCCGTGCAGGCATCAGTGCAAAAGCCCAGAGCATGTTCTACAACAATTTCAGAGTTGATTAATCTGTCTTTTTCCAGCAGGCTCATATGAGGCGCAACGCTGTCTGCTTTCTAAAAAAACCCCCAAAAAAAACAACAACTGACAATCAAATTTTGTGTGTCCCTCTGTTACTAACCCATGTTTCTCTTGGAGTGTCTGGAAAATAAAGACAGTGATCATGATGTTAACCTGTTCTTTGTATTTTTTCTTTCTTTCTCTCTCCCCTTCATGCCTAAAAAAATAGAAGTGGAACAAAAAGGTAACTAAATACCAACAACTTTTCTTTGTCTTTGTCACCTTGCATTTCCATTTGGGCACGCGCTTGCTATTTGCCGGTGACGGGCCGCTACGGCAACTTTTCGTAGGACCATTGTGTTGTTCGCTACTGTGGCTCAACATGCATTTCATGGGGAATATCTGGTTTTTCCATGAAACACCGTTAGGGAATTTCATGTACAGCAGCGTCCAAAATATTGATTAACCTTCCGACCCCGTGCCTTCACTTCTTGTTCATCAGCAGTATCAACCACACGGGTTCTGATATCCAAGCCATCGCAAACCTCCTCGCTGCTGAAATCTCATAACCCCGGCGTGTTTTTATTCCCTGTAATAACTGAAAATTCTTCCAGCTCTGCGTTATCAGCTGCATAATATTAAAGCAGAGGGCTATACAGGTTGATCAATAGCTTGTCCAGTAAGCTGTCAGCATTTTTCATTATAGCTCTAACATGATGATGACTATAACCTTCAGGGACTAAAAAGAGTCAATACTAGGGATAAATCATAGCAGCTGTATTCTTACCTTATCAGCACTGTATGATGCTGCAAAACATATGCTAAAGCTACACTTGTGCCCCGGGAGCTTTGCACAGTGTTTGTAGTCTTACCTTTTAACACGACCTGAGAATTTGTTCGTTGTCAGATGTTAACAATAAAGATGTATCGAAGCCAAACCGCAGAAATGGAATGAGTTTGGCTTCGATACCTGCGCCGCATTATCTTTTTGCACGACGCCATAAATATAAAGCCGGGTTCGAGTTAAAGATGGGATTGAAATCAAACGAGTCGAGAGCTCTGCTGAAATGGCCGAGGCAATGCATTTTTTTCGGTCTCGTTGTAGTCATTAGTTAGTGACGTGTCGCGAAACCAAAAGCAACGAGAATGAGCAGCGAAGGTGAGTTACAAACGTTTTACCGATGTGACGGGCGCTGCTGTGGTAATGGTTGTGAAGTTCCCCATGAAAGCCATGTGAGCCTTTGTATCGCTCCTGTAATGTCTTCCATTCACTCCTCCATCTCTTGCATCCTTAAAAACGACAAAAAAGCATATTTTACAACCTCCATAGAGCCCAGTGTGCTGTCAGAACAAAGCTTGCCGACTCTGACCTTGTACCCCAGCGCATCTTGTGTTTCTCAACCATAGAAACGGCCCTCTTAGCGTTTAGCTGAGCACCGCTGAGATGTGTGCCGAGGCTGTATGTCAACAGGACGCATCTCGCCACATTTTCACCTGCAGGTAGACAACATGTTTAATCTTAGGAGATTACAAGGGAAAGAAGCCTCTGTGTTTTTTTGTTTTTGTTTTTCTTCCCTGTCTCTTCCTCGACGGAGCCTGCAGCTTTTACCTCTCAATGGATCCACGGCTAGAAGCTGTCAGCGCACTGTCAGGCTGCTGGCCTGCTACAGCGGAGAGAGCCTTCTCGCACACATCGTTTTTATTTCTGATATTCGTCTGGAGCAAACCTGTTGAAAGTGGGGGAAGCTCTTAATTGTGCCTTCTTTTCTGCCTGTGTTTCTCCTTCGTCTGCTGTTTTTGCTTTCGTTGTTACATGTGTTATTGTTTGTACAATTTTAATTGCAGTATTAAACTCTTACGCTGTGTTGTTGTAATTCTGTATGCAGATGCAATCTACTTAGAAAGAAAAGAAAATTATAATTGTCTCAGTCCACGATAATCCATAATGAACTAAAATTAGCTTTCCACCATTGACCCTCTCCAGCTGTATTGGCTTTATCAGATCTGACTACAAACCGGTTTACATATAATTAGTTTGTGTGTGGGGCTGTAAATCATGTCACGGGGCAGCAAAATGTCATGTAGGTGAAATAATGGACAGGCTATCATTACACAGATGATGTCACTTTAATTTGTTTTCTTTCTCCTAAATCTCTACCTTGGCCAATAATTGAACTGCAGCTATTTATCAAAAAAATTTAGGTTGGGGGGGGGTTGTGTCTTTAATGCTGTTTACTAAGAAGTGCCGCTGGGGTGCTTTAACCAAAGAGAAGAATGAAACCTATTTTCTTCCCTGGCACAGTATCTAATTGGATGTGGAAAGAAGCCGTTGTGCAAAGTTTAACTGAAACTAAAGGGAACCAAAATGGTAATTTGTGTGTGTTTCTGTAGGCGAGTTAGTGGTGTTCGGGTAAGTTCCATCAGTGACTTCTGACTCGTTTCTGCTCTGCATTAAGTCAGCAGAGATAACCCTGACTTCATTTACTCTTCTCTCCCTCCAAACTCAAAGCCAGTTTATTCAGACAGATTGTAACTACCCGCCTCTGGGGTCCGGTAACTGTAGTCGAAGTATCATATGTAACAGCTGAAGACTACAGTAAGTAATTGAAAGCAAAGCAGTGCTCACTGCACTGGAGACACTGTTGGAAATAATGAAAAGGCTCATTGTGGGTTTGGGGTTTTTTTTGTTATTGATTGTGTTCTGTTTAATTTTAGTAATAAAATCCAAATAATTCTAACTATCAGTGTTTTTCACGCAAATCTTTTTTTATCTGCTTTTCTTCTAAAACTGCCCATCTTAACACAGATTTCAACCTGTTCAATTTTGTCTGATTCGTCTGTTTAATACCTGCCAATGTAACTCTGTAATTGTCTTTCCCCATTTTTGGCTCCTCAGTATTCCTGTGCCCAGGGCTTCTGCGGAGGGTGTACCAGAGCGAGCATCTCTTTGAATCGGACCACCAGTCCGGAGCTTGGTGCAAAGACCCTCTTCAAGCTTCGGATAAGATCTACTACATGCCTTGGACACCCTACCGCACGGACACCTTGACCGAATACTCATCCAAAGAAGACTTTGTCGCTGGAAGGCCGACAACGACCTACAAGCTTCCGCATCGCGTTGACGGAACGGGCTTTGTGGTCTACGACGGGGCGCTCTTCTTCAACAAGGAGCGCACACGCAACATTGTCAAGTTTGACCTGCGAACTCGCATCAAGAGCGGCGAGGCCATCATAGCCAACGCCAACTACCACGACACATCGCCGTACCGCTGGGGAGGGAAATCAGACATTGATTTGGCTGTTGACGAAAACGGCCTGTGGGTGATTTACGCGACCGAGCAGAACAATGGGCGGATTGTGATCAGCCAACTCAATCCCTACACACTGCGCGTTGAGGGGACCTGGGACACGGCGTATGACAAGCGTTCGGCATCCAACGCCTTCATGATTTGCGGAATCCTTTATGTGGTGAAGTCGGTGTATGAGGATGATGACAATGAAGCGACGGGAAACAAGATCGATTACATCTACAACACAGAACTCAGTAAAGACGGCTTCCTGGACATCCCTTTCCCCAACTCCTATCAGTACATTGCTGCTGTGGATTATAACCCCAGGGACAATCTACTGTATGTTTGGAACAATTACCACGTTGTCAAGTACTCTCTTGATTTTGGAGCATTGGACAACAGGCTAGGTAAGACCAGCTTCTTTATTTTTCATATACATGAAATGACACTGAAAGACTTGAAGGTGTAAGAGAATCTGAATGCATAGGAACATCACATGAGCAGTGGATTTGATTTGCACACATAGAATTTGAAATGAGGATCTCATTAAATTTGAATTTGAATTGTTACTTTTTTTTCTGCAATGAAACAATGATGCAATTTCAGATGGCAGGCACGTAGCAGAATCCTAGCCTTCTGCCTAGGTGTCATTCCCAGTGTGTTTATCAATGTTTGATCAAAATTTGACCAGTGATTCCCAGCGTATTATTTTTTTATCCACTACCCTTTCATTTTAAAAATAAGCCGTAAAAGCATTCTGATGTCAACGACTTTCAGACGTGCCCTCCTTTTCATGTGTCTGATTCCATCTGAATGAGTCACTTTTCCATAAAAGTCATGGCGGCTTCAGGTTGAACCTACTAACGTTTTTGTATTGCATTCACCGCTGAATGCAGTCACATTAATGGAAAGGCACGTACAAGACAAGTACTGCATATGTGTCTCATTCATATATTCAGATCACTGAAAGATATGATTTTGAGAGCGCGCTAAACAGCAGAAACATGAAAAAAATCTAATTAATCTCGCAGAAATCTAAAGGAAGTCTTTTTTCAGACCCTGAGCTGTCACAGAATCACAGTTTATGAGCTGAACTTTAATAATCATCTTATTTTGTTACTACACTTTGCCTCCCTTCCCTTCTACAATAACCACATAGACTGTGTATCACTTGCGGTCATGTAGTACATAATATTGGATGAGCGACTATATGAGGAAGCTGAATGCAACAATGACCTGTCTGGGTTCATAGTGAGCTCATTGCTATACGATCTGACATGCCTACCGGGATGTCAAACTGAATTTACATCAAGGGCCAGATGCACTCTACTTTGAACTTACTGTAAGAAAAGTAAATTTCTTTAAAATTTATTGGAATTTCCAACCCTTTAATTGTTTATCTGTTACTTAATTACTTTGGTGTAGCATGAATGACAATTCAAGCTTAAAATTGATGAAAATACAGTTAAAATGTCAAGATCTTTGAACTCCGTCCAGATTGGACTCGAGGTTGGGTTGATTCTGTCCCCCGGGCCTTATGTTTGACACCCCTACCCTGGGCGATGAGTGATTTTACTTTACTAATGACTCTTTTGATCTCACACCAGCTATTTTTAAACTTTTTATTAGCGTGTTTGTTCCGGCTGACACTTTTTTTATGTGTTGCGTGAAGAACAGCTTGGCACGGCACGTCTTGTTTTTGTCGGATTTTGGTCAAACACTGATAAACATATGCATTTATACTTAAAGAGTGTGTGGGCTAGTGGCAATTGGCTGCGGGGTATGGTGCTCAGTGTATTTTGATTCGTCCCAAATTGGAAGCGAAGCACAGTTTAACACATGGCGACGTACTGCAGACAGATGACTATTAAAAACTGTGCCTAGCATAAATCTAAGCACCATTTTTAGCATTCATATGATGTGTTTTCTTTCATCACATGTAACAATAGGAGAAAAGATTTTTTAGGCACAGAAATAATAATTCTATTGTCTTAAATTCTCAGGCGCGTCGCACATTTTCCGTTTAACTCGAGAGTTTTTCCGCACATTCTTTAGCCACAGGCTTAGGGCTTTTATTCAGTCTGGCTGTTGACTTTGAAAAAGGAACAAGTGACTGCTCACATTAAACTTCCCAGAACTCTTTTGAAAAGTCTAATTTCTCCACTCCATTGTTCTTTTTATAAATTGGTGCTTGTTGGGAAGCATAAAACGGAGAAAAAGAACCTGTTTTGACACACCAAGGTAATTCTTTGCGCTATCTCATCAACAGCTCCAGTCAAAAATGTCACAAGTTATTTGACTGTGAAATCCTTACTCCTGCTTTCTCCTCTGGAGCTTTATTCTACCTGCCGCTTGCCAGTTTAATTTATTTTCTTTAGCTGGCTGCTACTTTTCTCAAAATTTTTTTATTTTTTATTTTTTTACACATCGAGTCGCGCTCCAGCACACCCTGTAATGCATTCATTCTTTCAGTGGCCGTACTTACAGCGTTCACTTTTGACGATGCATGACTGTCCAAAATGTAATATGTCGTAGTTAAGGACCTTAGAGTGGTGTTATGTGCTTTTTATATTAGATGGTTCGGCGTTTATACGCAGTGGTCACACATTTCTGTCATGTAGAAACTTGCAAGTGGAAAGTCTCAGCAGCAGACTTCCAGTGAGAAGTGTTTGATTGTGTTATTGGCTGCTGTTGCAGAACAGGCTGCCCTCCAAAGAGTCTGCTGCATAAATATAGATAGTAAAATGTTGCATTAAGTGAATGGATGGAGTTGCAGAGCAAATATAAACGTCAGATAAACAGACTGATCGAGGAATGAAAGAGTGATTGAATGGGCTCCAGAGTAAGGAAGGATACAGACTTAATCTGAATAAAGCACTGGCTGTTAGCTTCCACACGGTTGTCTCTCACGAGTAGCCTAATTTTAAGATGGCAGGATAGTCACAACCACATTGTTTGAATCAGCATCGGCGTACCACTTCACTGCACACAAATTAGTCTGTACTCGCAGCTGTATTGCATTGTTTCTTCCATTAATTTGCTAGTCCGGTGAGGATGCGCAAAGGGGAAACCTGGAAACATCTGTCAGAGAAAAGCACAACGATGAACCAGCTGAGAAAGTGTGGAAAATGAGGATATGATTCCTTTTGATGCAACAATGTGAGTTGTTTTTAAGCTAAAAAGAAATGCTAAGTGTTAGTTGTAGTTCATTCTGAGTCATTGTTGTCATTCAGCGAGCCCAGAACAAATGATTCGATGAACCACAGAACACTAGAGAGTCAAAAGCCGATGTAGTCTCTTCCTTTTCCTGCAAACATGAGCTTCTGAAATTTGATCCAGTGTCATGATCACAGTGCCTGTTAGCGCTTACAGAAAGGTGTCATTCTCTGATCGCACTAACACAAGCTCATTTCCACTTGCACTTCCACGAGCATGCCTGACCTGCCACAGCAGTGGAGCATGGTACATGGGCAACAGAGCAGCAGATACATGGCCAGACCCACAGCTGGGGCTCCATTGCCGTATGCCCAGGGTACAGCACATGTTACGGGGGGAGTAGGTTGGAGCAGGGGGATGATGACTGGAATTGCCAAAACCACATTACAACCTTAAAAAATGTGTCCAATTTAAAAAATCTACAAATTAGGTTGGATGTGCACACTGGCTGTGAGCTTCACTTAATTGTCCACTTGCAGCCTCCTCAACAAGCCGACCAGTATTTTGATCCAGACAGGATCTTTTTAAAGACAGATGATCCATGCACAAGTGTGCTCGTCTGATAATTAATTTCATTAACTTGCAGTAGAAAGTGTAGCTTTTAGTAGGCAGATATAAAAGCTCTGTTATCACTTTTCATGATCGCATTCAATGCTGATTATGTGAGGACAGCTAAAATAAATTTGCTGTGTTAATATTTTTAAAGCATAAATGAAAATAAAGCTTGAGGACAACACTACATGAATGGTTAGTAAGCATGCATGCAAGCATGAACTTAAAAAAAAAAAACATGGTGGTAAATGGAAAATATTACAAAGGCCAAAGCAACCTCTCTAGAGCATGTTGATCTGACAGTAGCTGACTCTCAACTATCCATCAGCCAGCGCTTCAAATTCACCTTTTGTAGTGTTTTTCACCTCCTCCATCACTTTGCGATTCAGCTCAATCATCTCCTTCACTGAGGACAGACTTCACGGGATTGTTTTAGGACTACGAAGATTGCCGCCCAGCAAGTTGAGGAGCTGCATGAAATTAGTGTCAACGCTGTTAGTTGAAGACCAGGCAGCCAAAAGGAAAAAAAAAAGAAATCCTTGAAAAAATTTATGTTCCAATGAAACCAAATATGTCCCATCACATGGACAATTTTCTTACTGAAGGACTGCCACGGGTAACAACTGAAAACAATTACTCCTCTCAACTGCTTTATGTTTACTGTCATTGGTTCTCATCCAACAAAGTGCTAATGAATAACCCTGAAACAGATCCTGAAATGGTTCATTTGGAAATATACCAGTTTTTAGGTTTGTACCTTGCTTAGAAAATACCAAATCAAACATATTTTAACTAACAGTTTCAACTAGTACGACCCATCTCAGCTGGACTTTACGCTAATCAGCAAAGGTAATTATGCTAACATGCTAAACGACATGTTAGCATATTATTCACTTAAAAAAGACCTCCTTTAGATAAACAAACACGATAACTAATTATCGTTTGTATTTTGATGCTACTGTGTTCTCACTATATACTGGAGTGTATACTGGGGTTAAATATATTTAACCTCGCTCCTGATTTTTAGCACTGCATGTAGCGCAAACAACAGTCAAGTCAAAAACGGACTTTTACTTTGCGGGTTTTCATCCAACGCAGTAGAGACAACAGAAATGACACTGTGTAGTTCTGTTCTAACTATTCATTAAGTCACTAAGGATCACTGTTTCAAAGAGAAGACTGCCATTAATTAAATAAAAGAACAATAAAGTAGATTCAGAGCATCAGAAGACACACAAAAGCTGATGTTGGAATTCGGTGTAATGAATTGTGCATTTGTTGGCTTTACAATTTGTTGGCTTTACATTCTTGAATGAACAGATCAACTTGACCGCAATTCCCTGCGTCATTTAAAACATGCGACCCAAGATGCTGTAGAACAGGTTACAGAGCTGAGTCATTTTCACATATTTATTGACTCTCAAGCTACAAATTTCTGAGCAGATCTCAGTAAATGTAATAAAGTTGCTTCATTTACCGTCTGTAACTTTGCAAATTGTTGGTAAAAGAGAGGCAGCGCACTGCAAACAGTGCTCCGCAGGAAATCAGAAAATATCCATTATCAAAGCAGACTGTTTTCTTACTCTCGCAGCAACGTTAAGTGGGGGTGAAATTTAAATCTGGCATGTTATGCTATTTG